AAAGCATTGACGCTGAAATGAAGAAGAGAAAAAAGAATAGTGTCACTTGTGATCCCAACGACCAAGATTGAGTAGCTGGTTTGCACTAAAGATCACCATTTATGAAAGGGGGCGGACTGAAGGTACAAACCCGGGGTTCTGGCTCATAAGACTTGCTGCTGGGAGTACCTGGTGCACTTGATGGAAAATTGACTCTGTTCTTCGTTAACCGAGTCATGCAATTGTGACATAACAGGTGCATGTGACGGGTTGGATACGTATAAGTTGGCATGCGCGGGAAATTACGAATAATTTTAACCGAATGAGGGAGGAAATGTTTGAAGGTGACGAACCAAAGCGAAGATAGCTAAGCGGAAGTCCTCTGAACAGACTAATTTGGTACTTACTGACCTAATGTGTTGAAAAGCCCGTAGATAACGAAAGTGCTACTTTTTTAAAACACTGGAGGTTTGACTAACTGTGTCACCAACGATCACAAGCGACGGCCTCTTGTGGTGTCACCAGCAGAGGACTATCCAGGTCAGCGGTAAAACTGCACCTTCGAAACCCAGTCTGTAAACCGAGTTCGTAGCATTCACCCGAAACATCAAAAACCTAACATTTATATCTTCTATAAATAGGCGTGATCACTGGAACACAAACTTTATTTGCCAGACTTTTCGAATTCCAGCTTGAATCCATCTTCCAAGACAGCATCAGATACCGGTACTTCATACACAGGAAGTTGCAGCACTAATTGGACGCAGTCACTTTACTACCGCATGCCAATGGCAATTAACGCCTCTCGCCTTCATCAAGGAGGACTGCCCTCTGGTGCAATAATTACTCGACTTCAGTGTAATTAAACTCACGACTCCAGGTGGGGTCTCATAGCTCAGATGACTAAAGCGTTGGCTGTACTAAAGCCTCCCGCTTGGTGTCTTGGGTTTGAATCCAACCGAAACAATTAATATTTTGACAAATTGTTCAGATGTACCGTCTGATGGTCGGCATTCAACTCGTTGATATATGAGATGTAATCACTCGTGCTGGATGTTGGCGTGATGATTGCTAGGCCAGCTTGCTTACCGTCACTGACATTGGAAACCGTGTTGGCCTGCGCGCTCCCAAAGTTGCTAATTACTCTGACCAAAGTAGTTCTCAGCACCGAATATGGAGTGAGTGGTCATTGACCTTTTTTAATAGACTAGACCTCATTTTGACTTGAATTGTGAAGAGGATGTTTGAGATAGAGAAAGTAGGACGCTTGCTGGTGTAAGTCATTATCAGGTAGATTATGACGGGGTGCCTGACGCGGAGACCAAGGCTTTGTGAGCTGGTATCCGTGGAGCCACTTCCATCCTTTTGCTGTTAAAACCCCGGTCTAATGTCTGCTGTGGACCGATGATCATGCTGCTACGCTTAGGCATGGATTTTGCCGTACCAACCATCCGCGCCCGATTCCGCCTCCGGTCTTCGTGACTCTATCTTGACACCGGGCGAGGAAAGAGTGTGATAGATGAGACACAAGTCTACTACCGCTTAAAACAAATCCACACTAAAGTCACCGTCACTGCACCACCACGCTGTGGAGCACACGGTGGAAACCGTCGGAATCGACGGTTGAACTGTCGGTAAGA